GCAGAGTCCAGGACCCAGAAGGGACAAGGATGAGTTGGGGGTTCTCAGCAAGTACCTAGAGGAGGGCCCTGAGAGGCTTCCATGGCTCTATTTGTCCCCTTTGTTCCTCCCGCCCTCTGTTAATGTCATTCTGCTGAGAAGAGAGCAGGAGACAGTGAATGCAGTGGCTCTGAGAGCCAGTCTCTCTGTCCTGCCACCTTTGGCCTCCAGCAAGGATGCAGGGGACCATGGAGATGCAAATTTCATGAGAGATCTGCCAGGGGGTCACAGGGATTCCTAGTAAGCCCAGCAGCCATTCATAGTTATCTGGGGCTTAGAAAGGGGCTGAAGGAGCATAAGAGGTACAGAGCCACATTCTGGTACAGTGATGAGCAGAACCCTGAGTGATGGCTGCAGTTAATTGGGTCTACAAGCCTTTAAAGAGATATGGCAACAATACCTGATTGAAAGTGACCAGGAAGTCTCGTATACTGATGGCTTCAGAAAGAGTATCGTTCTTTATTTCTATAGTTATTTCTCCATGAGTAACTGAGCCTTCTGATGGCCAATACTGGCAGCATTTATCCTACGGGGATAAAACAAAATTGTCTTGCTTTAAGTCTCTGCTGCTAGTATTTTAACTTTATGATGCAAAATTGCTCTCAAACCATTTAACTAATTCATCTGATAAAAAAGTATTATGTTAATATGAATGTGAATGGCCATTGATACTTGTCAACCCAGGGAACAGAATTGAGAGTCTAGAAACAGACACATGTATGGGACTTAAACACATTACAGAAAGGAGAGATTATGTGACAAATGAAACCAGAATAATTGGCTTTCTCTGTGGGAAGGATGAAATAGGACTCTTGACTCTCACCCTACCAAGGCTGATATGAATGCGCCAGCTCTTCCTAGAGCTGGGCATATGTTGGGTTGTCAAGAAAGTCGTGATGCATTTTTGCATAGAAAAATACATCACGACTTTCCCGATGTCCTAATAAAATCTGCATTACCATATACAGTAGTTCTGAACCTTAATAGAAATAAAGCCAAATTGGTTAAGACTTAAGGTGAAATAAAGATTTGTGAAACCTTTAGGAGAAGAAACTATCTTTTCACTTCAGGATCCTGAAGGCTTTACTCAATAAGATCCCCAAGAGTTAACCAATCATGACAAGAAGGATGGAAATATCAAATTACAACAACATTCTCTTGTGTTCATTAACAAATGCCATTAGGGGACAGATCACATACGGTGACAAATGTTTTCGATACATAAAACCAATAAAGGATTAGTATCAAGAATATGTAAGGAACACCTATAAATCATTAAGGAAAGGACAGGGGTCGGCAGGTGGCATGGTGACTAAGGCACTGGACTCCCACATGGCTGCCTATGGTTCAAGTCCTGGACCTGGTAGCTTGCTTTCTCACTCTTCCTCTTTCTCTCTCTCTGTTGTCTCTGTCTCTTTCTGGCCAAACTGAAGAACAGCAATTAAAAAAATTAAATATATATTTTTTTTAAATTAGGAAAAGACAAACAATCCAGTAAAAAAAATGAATAAAGGGTAAGAATAGGAACTTCGCATAAGAGCAAAATATACCATCCACAAATATATAAAGTGATGCTTGACCTTGTAGGAATCAGAGAAATTCAAATCAAAGTCACAAAAAGATGATATTGTCACCTATTCGGTTACTAAAAATGAGGGCACCTGAGAATACTAGGTGTATAGATGAATGATGTAGATACATTGCTGGTGTCACTTTGGAAATAAATAGTTAGGAATTATCGTGCAAATTTAAACTATAACATACTCTCCAATGCAGCATTTTTTTTTGATACATACTGCTTCTTATGAGGTATAGATATGTATAAGAATGTATGGACAGCACTATAGATAAAACAACAAAATGGAATAAAATTGAATGTCCACAAGAAATAAATAAATGAATTTGGGGTGTATGATGGGATGTACTGAAATAGTGTTGATGATGATTATATTTAAAGACATGAGCATAGAAAAATATCAAAAGCACAAGTTTGAGTGGAAAAAGTAAGTCCCATAAGACTACATACTATTGAGTTGTCTGAAAAGTCATGATGCATTTTTGCACAGAAAACCATAGAAACATACATCATGACTTTTCAGATGACCCAATGTGATGAGGCCATTTTATAAAGTTCAAAACCAAGCAAACTAAATAATAGCTTCTTTAGGCATACATATATATTACATAACAATGGTTTTTTTTTTTTTTTTAAATCAAAGAACCCATCTACTAGGACAACTTTAATAAAAAAGACAAATGATAAAAGTGTTGGTGGGGATGTGGAGTCACTCTTGTACATTAGTGGTGGGAACGTGAGATGGGGCAGCTGAAAACAGCCCAGCAGGTCTTGAAAACTATTAAACAACAAAAATTTATAATGTAGACAGATGATATGACCCAGCAATTCCATTCCTAAATATATAACCCAAGAGAAATGAAAAAAAAAACATGTCCATGTAAAAATATACACTTAAACATTCATAGCAGCATTATATATAATTGCCCCAAAGCCAATTTGTCTATTCTGGAGATTAAGATAAATTGAATCATACCATACGTGTGGCCTCTTTTGACTGAGATCTTGAATTCAGACTTCATTTTTATCTTTTTAATTTTTAAAATTATTTTAAAAATATTTTAGAGAGACTTTTAGTATAGGACAAATGTGCTTGCCAGAGAGATAGAGAGAGACAGAGAGACAGAAAGCAAAGAATCCTCCCTTCCCCGCCCCCGGGGGATGGCCACACCATAATCCCTTCTCCTCTGTTGTTTTCTTAGGATTTTGTCTAGGGGCACACTCATGCGCCTGGCCCAGGACTAAAACTGTATCTACTATGTGGGAGTCCAGCAACATAACCATTACGCCATCTGCTGGTCTCAGGCATCTTGTTTTGAAGGTTTGTGTTATACCACAAATCAGTACTTCATTTATTCATTCATTCATTCATTTATATTTAGGTTCTTGCCATATGGTATATGCGCTCATGGGGAGATGGGGTAGGGGGAGAAAGTGAGAAATCACACCCTAGGGGGAATAGCCGTGCTGCAATCCCTTCTCTTCATTCTCCTCTTGGGATTTTGGGCATGCATGCATGTATATCCAGTATGATTTTCAAGTCGCTAGGTCTGGGACTCAAACCATGGTAGACCATGTGGGAGTCCACTGCCCTTAGCCACCATGCCACCTGTTGGCCTTGGTTTATTTATTAAATTGAGAAATAGTATTGATTTTATGGATATACTATTACACATTTTGTTTATTTGTTCATCAGTTGATGGACATGAACTTTTAAAACAAGATGTTAAATTCAAGAACTTAGTCACTAAAAGTCATATACCGTATGATTATATTTTTCTTAATGTCCATAATTAGTAAACCCAGAAAGTGAGAAAGTGGATTAGTGGTTGCCCTGGGCTGAGTCATGGATGAATGAGAAGGGACTATTAACCCTATGGGTTTTTTTTTTTAATTTTTTTTTGGGGGGGTGATAAAAATTGAAATTAGATAGAAGTAATGGTTGCCCAACCCTGTGAATTGTATCCTTTAAAAAGAGAAACTGGTAAGCAAATTATATATCTCAATATAATTGATTTTCCAAAAAAAAAAATCAAAGAAATCAAAACATAAAACTCAGATAGTGGTTATGTCTTAGGGGAGCACCTAGACAGATGTACATTATTGGTAAAAGTTTGGTTTTTCCATTGAGTGGTGGGATCATGAGTATTTATCATGTTATTAATAAATATAAATCAGGAAAGCTATGGATGGATCTTTGGGAAAAGGGCAACATTTAACTATTCAGTTTGATTAGGACAAGATCAGTTAGGTACACATATCAAAGGCTATATCTTTATGTTTTGATAAAAAATGAATAAATTCTTCAACATTTATTACAACAAATTGTGACCTTGACAAATACGAAATGGCAGAATTTTAAAGCAGATGAAATAAAATGAGGCTAAGGACAAAGTCAATGGGTAGTTAGGGTCAGCCTGCTCCAATCTCCCCAAAAGAGTGAAATGAGATCATTTCCATGGCTAACCTCTCTCCTTCCTCAGTAGAACTGGCTAGGCCTCACTGTATTTGTAGTACTGAGGGCAGGTGAGTCATGTCTTGAATAGCTACGGTCACCCCAGGAGCACAGACTGGTCCTGGAGGGCCCAGGGTCAAGGGGGCGGTGTGCACTCCTCACCTGCTCTCTTTCTTGCACCTCGGTCAGCATCACGATCGTGTGGCACTTCCACTCCCAGACCATTCTCCAGAAGTCCTCAACCGTGTGTGCCAGTGGCCCCTGGGTGGCGATGAAATAGTCCTTCTGTCGGTAGCCCTTCAAATAGGGAGGCAGAAGTAAAGGTATAACTTCCTTCCATCTCAGTTTCACTGCCTTCCACATGTATTTAGGACAACTTACGATTTGATGAGGGAAGCTCTCCAGTCTTCCATGGCCTGAACCAAATCCCACTTGGTGCATAGATGTACCTACCCAAGAAGCAGGCCAAGATGCTCACTTTATTTGAAAACTACACACTGCAGGTGTGTAGTTTTAGCACCTGCAGTCATCCAGGGTAGGGTTTATGAAATGCCAGTCATTTATGGCCACCCAACAGCAGCTGGTGGCTTTGATTTTAACATGTTTGTGTGGTATAGCTAGAGTGGCATCATGGTGGTGCAAAGGCCCCTGGGTGAAGAGTTAAAGGAAGTGGGTTCAAATGCCAGTTCTACCAGGACCCCACTGATATCTGGTACAGTTTTCTCATCTGCAGATGGAAATACGAACACACAGTTGGCTGCGGTGCTTTTTTTCTGCAAGTTTTTTTAGTAACTTGACTTCCTGTGCATGAAGACAGTGCGTGTCTGTGTGCCCTGACCACGTAATTGTATTGTCCACAATTGTATTGTGTTGGAGAAATGACATACGAGAAAGTACTAGGAAGCACTGCACGTGTAACCGGTGTATAAGAGCTAGATGAAAGAAAAATAGCAATAGATGAAAAGGAGAACACACAATAGCCAATTTCCTTAATTTCCCATGTTTACTGTTTTCTTGTTTTCAAAGCAAATAATGCTACTAATAAAATGGTTGCGTTTCCAGAGGTGTGTCTATTTTTTCTGACTGTGAAACCAAGTTAATCAAGAGTCTGTGTGGTCAGGGATCAGCAGATGACATAATGGTTACATTGCTGGACTCCCACATAGTCGATCGCGGTTTGAGTCCCAGACCTGGTGAGTTAAAATTCACACCGGGCGTGTGTGCCCAAGATCCTGAGAGGAGAATGGAGGAGAAAGGACTGTGGCTTGGCCATGCCCCCTGAGGGGTGATTTCTCATTTTCTGTCTCTGTGTGTCTGTCTCTCCGGCGAGCACACATGCCCTTTAACAAAAAATCTCTCTCTCTGAAAAAGAAAATAAAAAAGAGAAAAAAGGAAAAAAAAAAAAAAAGAAAAAAAGAGTCCGTGTGGTCATATTGAAGAAAACGTACATCTATCCAAAACACAACTCGGACCAATATACTTACGTCTATGAAGGATGCATTGATGTAGTCTGTGTATTCTTGACCCCTCTTCATAGAAAGGATCACTCGATTGAAATCATCTGCAAAGCGGTATTTTCTTTTAGTTAAAACAAATATGATCCTGTCTTGCAAACTTCAATCTGTTGCTACAAGCTTCCAATATACAACCTTATTGGTAAAATCAGTAAGTAAAGCAACTCTCTGGAGAGTTTATTTTATCAAATAGGCTCATTAAAGTGGCCCAGGGAAAGATTTTTGGTTGAAAATAATCCAGTGATCAGTTTTGGTTTTTGAGTTGATGTAATACATATCAAAATATAAGCATTAGAAAACACTACATATAATGGTCCAGCTGCAGTAGTCTTGGACAATACTCTGCAGTGCTGGAAGCAGTAGAGTTTGGGTTCCAGGTTGACCTGTGAATGCCTCATTACAGACATGTCCTTGAGGGATGCACACCCCATCATCATAAAATAGCTGTAAGCAGATTTGCTTTCATCGAGTCACATCATGCTCCTGGGGGCTATGCAAAAGCACGGCCAGGATCTTGAATGACTGGGAAAGCTGGGAGGATCACAGTGTGAGTCCCTGCTGGGGTGCCTGTGTGTACCTCTCTCTCTTTCTGTCTCTTATTTTTAAAAATATGAATGAAGAAAACAAAACAAAAACTACATTTAGGCCCAGCTATGGTGGCATAAGCAGTAGGACCCCACTGCACAATATCGGAGCCATAGGAAAGGGCCCCCGGTTCAGATCCCATGTCAACCTGAACACACAGGGTGTACCTGTGGGTGCACCTAGAAGCTTAGCTGCCTGAAAGGCCAGGGAGAGAGTAGAGTGACAGTGTGATGAGACCTTGTCAGGGGTCAGTCTCTCTCTCATAAATTAACTTAAAACAAGCAAACAAACCAAGACCACTGCACTTAAGGAGTGAAAGGAGAGTGACAAGCCAACCGACCTAGAACTGCTGGCAGACACCAGACCACAAAGAATCAAGCATCTGAGGCTGGGGGAGCTTCTGCGTGGCCCCCAGGAACATGGTGTGATGCCACGAAAGCAAGCCAGTTGACAGCTGTCTCATGATGGTGAGTCATGAGTCCCATGAGGACCATAAAGGGGCACACACACATCCTCTTCTCCAACGCCGAGCTCTCTTACTCTCCCACTCCCTCCGAGTTATCTCGGATGCCTGTGGAGTCCACTTTTGGCCAGGTTTCATGGTGTCCCTTTTCCCACTGAAGGAGGCCCTGATTCCTCACCCTGCCCACTGCATGGGGATCCTTGCCTCCTTGTTGGACATTGCTCTTGCTCCTTCATGGCCCTCCCTCACCCATAACCTAGGTGGATTCCCACTTGGGCAGGGCCCATTTCTTGCCCTCCCAAGGCCAGAGTCTTTTCCTAGAAGGTCTTGTCTGGATTTGTCTCAGGTATGACCTAGCTCCTTGCTGCCTGCATGGCCCTGGCCATGTTGCTCACTGTCCCCTTTGTGTAAAGGGACACGTTTCTCCACCCAGGTCTGGGAAACATTGAATGCAACATGGAATAGGGAGGCGCCAAGCCACACATGCAGCAGCAAATCTCTCGGCTTCCATGCTTGTCCTCCCTGGGATTCCTGATTCAACCCCCCTTCCCGGTTTTGAAGCCTGTGTCTTGCGTTGCCCACCTGATATACATGCAGGACTGTCTGGGTCACTGAGTGCTTTACAGGTGGGCCATTGCTTCCTGACACTTGACACAGCACCCAGGAGTCCTTAGCCTGGGCCTAGAGATCTCCCTGCTCCTGACTGGTTTACAGAGGTACGTGGTCAATGATTCTGAGCACCTGAGCCACCCGGAGCTAGCCCTGTCCCAGTCCTGCTGTGAGGGGTTAGGGCTGCTTACACGGGATGATCTGGATGACTCTGGCCTTCTTCATGTTTGCTGGCAAGTTGCCTGTCCTCATGTTCTCCTTCATGATCCGGACATTGGTCAGTTTCTATAGCCGAGAAGGACATAATGACAGAGTTAGGACTCTGACCCTCCTGAGCAACCCTCTTCATCACATGACTACGGGTGAGGAGGCTGCCTGTGAAATGGGAATGTATATCTCCATATCAAGAAGTATTCTTGGGACCAGCAGTTAGCGTAATGGCTATGTCACTGGACTCCCATGTAGTCGACTGCGGTTCGATTCCTGGACCTGGTGGCTTTAACTCATGCTGGGTGCATGTACGTGTATGCCCAAGATCCTGAGAGGAGATTGGAGAAGAAGGGATTGCGGCGTGGCCATGCCACTTGGGGGGTGATTTCTCTCTTTCTGTCTCTATGTCTCTCTCTGTCTCTTGGGCGAGTGCACGCACCCTATAGCAAAAACCTCTCCAAAAAAAGGAAAAAGAAAAGAAAAAAGAAAAAAAAAGTCTTCTTCATATTAAGAAATGAAGGCAGGCCCCATAGCCTCATAGTTAAAAAAGCCAGATCCCACATTGGTTGACTGCTGTTGGATCCCAGCCCTGGTGGCTTGAAAAACCTGTTAGGCATGTGTGGATGCATGCCCCAAATCCCAACAGAATGAAGAAATAGAGGGGAAATGATTGTGGTGTGAGCATAGCCCCTGCACCATGTCTGTCTCCAATGAGCACATGCACCCTGTGGCAAAAAAGCCCAACCAACCAACCAAACAAAAACCTGGGAAATAAAAAAGTGTGTAAGGCACACTACCCTGCCTGGATTATTGCAGAGCTCTGATAGTTCTTCCCTGGCAAGTCACAGCCCAGGTATCTTCCCTCTTTCTGGAGTGAACCACAAGTAAAGCTCTGAAAGTCCCTGGATTATTGCAGAGCTCTGACAGTTCTTCCCTGGCAAGTCACAGCCCAGGCATCTTCCCTCTTTCTGGAGTGAACCACAAGTTAAATGACAGACAGTGGCTGCATCTCCACATTCGCCCATTTACTCAGTTTCCCACCAGAGAATGTAGACCTGAGTCTACCGCACTCACCCGGAATTCCTCCTCTAGCCCGATCTTGTCGAAGTGGGTGGCAGTGCCGTGCAGACTCTGCAGGTGCTTCTCCAGGGAGGACACGTCCAGCTCCGTGTCCCCGTAGAGGTAGTACTCAAGTAAGGCTTGGTAGATGAATGTGTACTGCATCTGCAGGGCAGAGGGGAGCTCACACCTCTCCTCCACTCCGGCCTCTGCCCATACTGAGCCCAGCAGCCCATGGGGGGCCCTCTCTTTTCCTTCTTGTTTTGTCAACAGAAGAAAGCTTAAGGGCCAAGAGCAGTTTAATGGCCATGCATAATGACCGTTCATGCCCTTGAGTAGAGACACTGGCCGTGGCTGGTATTTAATGAGGATGCCACATCAGAATAGCAGAATCCCCCCATCCTGTTTCACATATGGATCTGAAGGAGGAGGGTAGAGGGTCTCCAAGGCCCTATGGACAGGGACAGGTGGAATGGGGAGTGAAGCCAGGTCTGACCCTGGATATGCTCAAGGCTGGTTGCTCGATGCAATCAAGCCCAGGGTCCACTGTGTGGGGAGGCACAGTGGTTGCACATGGCCTGCATGGTAAGGCGACCGGGTCTGCCTTGTGAAGCTCAGACCAGGACGAGAGGAAGGCAGTACTCACATCTGTCTGGACCATCTGAGGCCGCTGGTTGCGGATTCGGGACACGAACTCAAAGACGTCAACCTTCTGCTCGGCATGCATCATGTCCATCATGGCGTCGATCACGATGAAGGTGCCTGTCCGGCCCACACCCGCACTGCGGGAAACAGAAAGACACCAAATCGTGGATCACGTCCCCCTAACATAAATGCCAGGGCCTCAACCTGCACACCAGGAAATGCCTCTAAGTTACTTTTCCTTAGTTAATAAAGAGCAAATCCTCAGTGAGGCCACCAGGGGGCGCTAGTAAACCGATCTCAAGTTCCTACAACTACAGAAACTGTTAAAAGGGTCTCAAATATATATATTATATATATATATTTTTTTTTTCTATTACCAAACATTGTCTTCTTATGTCATTGTTTCCTGGCCAGGGAATGTATCCTTGGAAGCTGAGGAACCTCAGATCCACTATGCCACATTGTCGGGTCTCAGCTTCCTCCTCTGTCAAACTGTGCAAATAATGTCTGTCACCTGTCTTGGAGCATTAAGTGAGGTGACATGTGTAAGATGATTGTTACCTGACCCTGAAAACTCCTCTCAGCATGGGTTGCATTGGTGGGTGGGTGGGGCATGATCCAGCTCTTGCTTGGCCCCAGAAACGGGGTCCTGCTGAGACTTGGGGAAGGCATTCTGTCAGCATCCTAAACATCTGTGGGACAGGTGCAGGGCGCCAACATCACTGTGTGCAGGTAGCTCTTGTCCCTGGCAGTGCTGGGATCCTCGGCATGAACCTGTCTGTAACTGCTGGGAACACGGGATCGAATCAAAGTGGCCCCCAGTGAGGCCAAAGCATTGGTGGGCACAAGCAGGCCTCTCTCTGAGGGACAGAAAAGCCGGGGCAGGGGACCAGCAGTTAGTGTAATGGCTATGTCGCTGGACTTCCATGTAGTCGATCGTGGTTTGCGTCCCAGACCCAGTGGCTTAAAACTCACGCCGGGCGCGTGTGCATGCGTGCCCAAGATCCCGAGAAGAGAATGGAGGAGAAGGGATTGCAGCGTGGCCATGCCCCCTGGAGGGTGATTTCTTGCTTTCTGTCTCTCTGACTCTCTCTGCCTGTCTGGCGAGCACACGCGCCCTACAGCATAAACCTCCTCAAAAAGAAAAAGAAAAAAAGAAAAGGAAAAAGAAAATCCGGAGCAGTGGCCTGAGCTTACATTCAGATAGTTTTTGTGTTGGACAAAGCCCACTCCTGATGCGAGTCACAGGCTCCTCCTAGGTTTCCTTCCGTTTTGTGAATGAGGAAACCAGGCTAAGAGAGGTGAAGTGACCCATGCCTAGGACAGCCTGCTCTGGAGGACTCCGCTCTGGCGACTGGCTGTGCTTTGGGAGCAGCCCCAGACCGCCTGACCTCAGCCTGCTTTTCTAAATTACTTGTGTATGGGAGGGGGGTTCTGTGGAAGTGTGGTTTCTGTCCATTTCTGGAGGTGACTTGGGATACCCTGGGGGAGGGTAAGTCAAGGGGAACCTCGCACCCCCCGCCCCCAGACCTCCACTCCCAACAGCTCTCCTGGGTCTCTCAGCTTTTGTTGTTTTTACGTATGAGGGTTCAGATGCCATTGAAGAGGGGGCTCAGCCACCATGGAATACGCTGGGAGCTGCACTTCCTGCTGGCTCTCTCCCCACAGGGCTCTCTGCGCTGCTGCTCAGTAACTGCACATGGCGCCTGTGTCCCCTCCACTCTCCTGCACCTCTGTTCTCCTTGATATGGATCCACTGGTCATTTCCCCACGAGAAGTGAGTCCTCCCATCCCCAAGGGTCTTGCACATGGCCCCTGCCTCAGATGTACCTGCAATGGACCACGATGGGCCCGGCGTGCGCGGGGTTGAGTGCCTTTACTTTCTTCAGGAACTTCAGCATCCCGATGGGGGTGAAAGGCACTCCGAAGTCGGGCCAGCTGGTGAAGTGCAGCTGTGAGACGAGCCGCGGGGCTTTACAGCCATCGGGGAGCTGCTGCAGGGTCACAAGGAGATGTGAGTGGGGAGGGCATCCCTTACTCCTGCCCACCCCAAAGTCTCATTCTGAGGGCACTGGCTCCTGCTCTCCCGTGTCACCCAGACCGTGGCAGCCATACAGGGCAAGGCCCGTCCATGGTGCAGAACGCCCTGAATGACAGCCCTGGTGCTTCATATTGCTGGCCAGAGACATGGCGCATGGTTACTTCCTGAGAGTGCAGAGCTGGGCCCACGGGCACCTGGTTATGCCCAGGCCAGGCAGGCTGAAGCAGCTGGTCCTAAGGCTCAAGAGCCCCACTTGTAAGCAGGCTGGGCATGCCCCACTTCACATAGTCCCACTTCACACCCGTGGTCTTGGGGAATTACCAATGGCACACCCTGTCACTCAAAGTGTCTTCATTTGGGGAGAAAGATGACATGGTTGTTCTACTCTTTGGAGACTCTCAGACCTGCCTTCAGAGTCTCTCTCAGCTTTTCTATCTAGAGCCCGTGGGTTTCTCTACCTGCCCCAGAGCATGGAGGGACATAAACAGTGCATTTGGAAGTGTATGCATGTGTACATGCATGTGTGCCTGTGTGTCTGGGTGAGAAGCAAGCATGTTCTATGATCTCATCATGCCAACCACTTTAGCTTTGATTCCTGATAAACTGATTTCTGTTTTCTCTGTGGCCTTTATACCTCTTGCATCTTTATTTCATCTGCATGTTGTATATGGATATTTTTATTAAAGTCTGCCATAAATTCTTTTAGAGAGGACTAGCAGGAAATAGGTATGAAAAATAAGACCTCAGACATAATTTTGACAGTGTTAAAAATGTGTAAGATGATGCCATGCGACTTGTGGGGGGGGACTCCCCTCCATGTCCTTCCACCCGACTCATTTTCCTCCTGGGATGGTCCAGTACGGTCCCTGGGAGCAGGGAAGCCCAGCACTTTCTATAGACTCAGGGGCTCCTGACTCTTGTCCTACTCTGCCAACCAACCCGCCTACTCACTGTCCCATGCCAGAGCCATGTGCTCTGGCGCCCCATCCCAGCCCACTCAGAAAGAGCCACTGCAGAACTGGGCTGGGGGAGGAGAGCTTTCCATGTAAGAAAGCACAGAACTGTGTTCACTCTGAACATGGTGCTCTGGCAGCATGACCCTTCTGGAAAGTCGGGGACTGGGAAGGCTTACTGGCTGTATGCAGAACTTCCGGATGGTGTAGTCTACCAGGACCACGCAGTCTTCCACGCACACTCGGATGTTCCCGTAGGTCCAACAGCCCTGGTCGGGCCAGTACTGGTAGCACTTTTCCTGCATGGAGCAAGAAAACAGAAATAAATAGATCTATAGGGGCTCTTCACCATTCTTTCCCCCCACCAAACTCCCTGGAGAAATGTGTTTGCCTTATAAGTGGGGAAACTGAGGCCACAAAACTGGTTAAGGGCAGCCCTGAGACTATGACTATTTCTTATTTCAACATCAATAATGTCTCATTTGTTCATTCATTTACTAATCCCATGCATTTTATTTCATTTCTTTCTCCCAAATTAATTTATTTCTTTCATGAGAGACAGACTGAGAGACAGGTACCCTCAACAGGGTCCCCAAGCCACCTCTGGCCCCAGCCAGCCCAATGTGCAGGAATCTTCCCACATGGGTCTCTGTGGCCTCCACTGGCCCACTGTCTGGTCCTCACCTGTTTTACTGAGCTGACTGGATTGGTCATGCTGAGCTTGCGTCCTTCAGAGTTGGGGAGCCTATGCCAAAATGACCCTTAGGTTGTGGGCAGGACTCACACCAAGCCCCTAAGGACGCAGAATTTCCCTGAACATTTTCTTCCAGATTCAGCAGTTGTCCGCACCACCCCCAACTCAGTTCTCTAAGGACCAACCTAATCGGCATCACTGCCAGCCTGCAGTGGAAGAATGTGCGTGATCAATGTAGTGTGCATTTTTCACTAAGAACTATGCAGAAGTGGGAGCCCGTGGGTGAGCACAGTGTTAAAAGAGGCCTCGTACTCTGACTCCCTACGTCCTCTTGCATCAAAACGACTCCAAACACGAATTCCGAGAGCCCTTTTGCTTTCCAGCACGTCCAGTCCCTAACTCGCCATGAAGTCCTCTATCAGCAGGGAATACATGAATGAATGAGGATCCACCAAAGGAGGGAATAGATCTGAGACCAGCAGATGGAGTGGTGGTTAAAGTGCTTGATTTCCACATAGACAACGTGGGTTCAAGTCCTTGGCTTAAACCTCATGCCAAGGAGACCAGCAGGTGGCACAATGATTACATCGTTGGACTCCCACATAGGTGACCATGGTCCGAGTCCCAGACCTGGTGCTTAAAACTCACGCCAGGCATGTGTGCATCCGTGTCTAAAATCCCAAGAGGAGAATGCCCCTTGGGTGGGCATATTTTTTTGCTTTCTGTCTCTCTGTCTCTCTCTGGTGAGCATATGCCCCCTATAACAAAAAAATTCTAAAAAAAGAAAAAAAAAAAAAACTCACACCAGGTGCATGTGCCTAAACCCCCAAGAAGAGAATGGAGAAAAGCTTGCGGTATGGCGTTGCTTCTTAATTTTCCTTTCTCTGTCTCTCTCTGGTGAGCTCATGCACTCCATGGCAAAACACAAACAAACCAAAACGGTGGGGTGGGGGGGATAGATGTGGTTATAGACCACAGAGAAGTCTCTGGAATTTAATAGGTTTTCCAAATATCCGACAGTTTATCCTGAAAATAGTCTATGTGAGGTCAGGTCACGAGGACTGATCCTCATCTGGTATTTACCAGAGATCAGCACCTTTTTATTTATTACAGCCACAGACGAACGTCCCCTTCTTAACCCTGGCTGAGGGCTGGTCCTCCATTCCCCCCAGGGTCTCTGAAAAAGCCCCTAAGAGCAGTCAACACCTGAATACCTGGCTTGGGAAGCCTGTGTGGGCCTCGAGATCCTCCTGAGAGCCTGGCCTCCAGCAGCAGCAAGGACTTGGGACTCTGCTTGTGGCCGTTACCCCTTGACCTTCCCCTCCCACCCATCAGCTCATGAGATGCCAGAGCAGAGGCATTTCGCAACAGAGCTCAAGATGTGGAAGCCACAGGGCCCGCACAGAAGTGTAAGCAATTAAGAAAAAGGGAACTCTATTGGGAAATGATTTCATCTGAAATGATGACAGTCAAGATGCAGGAGCAGGCGAGCACTGAGTCACAGGATGGAAAGCTCCAGTAAAAGGCCCAGGAGGAAGATTAGCAAGACAAAGCTCAGAGTCACGGCAACAGCATGACTGCACTAGGAGAGGCACCATCCGCATCTCCCCCGTTCTGTGCTAGTCTCATTAGCTTCATACTCGCACACGCGGCCCTCGGGAAGCCCAGTCCCTGTGGGTGGCCATGCACAGGGGATCTGAGGCCCCGGTGGTGAGGTGTCTTCCTCCCTTCCTACAACAAAAGTGGGGGTTCCTCCTCCTCCGCAGGAACTTGAGCAAAGGCAGGGTTAAGTGTCTTGCCCCTGGGAATCCCCTACTTCCTTTCTGTCATGCTTTCCGGTGACAAAGAATTACAAGGACAGGATTTACTCAGTGAGAAGAGACAGCCCTCTTCAGACCAACCTGACTCAGTTGAAAACAAAACAAAAAGCCCACCCTGTTCTCAACCCACTGGAAACATGGCTGGAGGCCATTCCCTGTGTTTCCAGTGTTGAACCAATTAGTGAAGTGGCCCTATGGGGGTGAGAGTACTTCATGGTCTGCCCTGTTTGTGGTCTCCTGCTTCTGTCTGCTGCAGCTGAGAAACTCCCCAAGACCTGGCACTTCCATCTGAAAACAGCTGCCCTTTGTCACAGAGCCAGGTGCTGTTGGGACCAGTGCATGAGGGAGGGCAGAGGTGGAGCTCAGGACATGACAGGCCCGGGGTGGGGCCAGGCAGGACAGCTATTTCCCACCAAGCTGGGCCTTCATGCTAGGGCCTGTTAGAAGTAGTCTCCGAATTGGGGGCCCCACCTGTGGCAAGTCTCTCTCCAGCTCCCAATTCTTCTTTCATTTTGGAAGGCAAGTTCACTTCCTAAAACACAGATCCCCACTTATTGCTGAAAAAACCTCTAGGGTCTCCAGTCCTACCCCCTTTCTATTTCTAGGGAGGAGACGCTGATCCTGGCAGCTGGGACAGAGCTGGTCCCGTACAGCAGGAGCTAATCTGTGTTTGTTTTATCAGGAAGTGAGTCAGTTCAACTTCTCTTCTTTGTAGATGTTTCAGATTCTTTTTTCTTTCTTGATTGCAGAGGGCACATGGGCTTGCCAGACAGAGACAGAGACAGGAGAGAGGGAAAAAGCACCCCCAGTGGGGTGTGGCCATGCAGCCATCCCTTCTCTTCAGTCTCTCTGTCCTGTTAGGATCTGGGACACACATGCATAACCAGCGTGTCTTTTCAAGTTGCCAGGGCTGGGATTCAAACCACGGTTAGCCACGTGGGATCTAGCTCCCTTAACCACTGAAAAAAGGTGCTGGCTTTCAAATTCTTATAATATATATGCATTTAAAAAAATTAGGAACAGCTAATTCAATATATTTAGAAGGTAAAGCAATATTCCTTCACTATATCTTATTTTTCAAATGCACGTCGTTCATTGGGATAATAGACATGAAATCCATTTCATTTACACTCTGAGGCCTTACTACATTATATGCCCAACATACAAAAATCATAAATTCTAAAATCCACTGCCTCTAGGAGCAGCAGATGGTGTGATGATTATGTCACTGGACTCCCACGTAGTCAACTGTGGTTCAAGTCCCAGATCCTGTGGCTTAAAACTCACGCCAGGCACATGAGCGTGCATGCCCAAGATCTCAAGTGGAGAATGGAGGAGAAGGGACTGTGGCATGGCCATCACCCATGCATAGGAAGTGATTTCTCACTTTCTGTCTCTCTGTATCTCTGGCGAGCACATGCACTCTATATAAAAAACTCCCTAAAAATAAATAAATAAATACATAAATACATAAATAAATAAATAAATTCACTGTCTCCATCATAGAGTTCAAGCTGTCGGCCAGCCAGGGACCACTCTCACCTACTAAAGAGGAGGCTTGCATCAGTCTTCTATCACAGATCAAGACAATGAGGTATTTGGAGCACAGAGAATATATTTCAAGATAAAATTTTTTTTTTTTTCTGCAGTGATAAGAAGGGAGGAGACTAGGAAAAGGAAGTGGTAAGCACACCCCACAAACAACAGCAGCTCAAAGGAAACTACTCATTGAGCAGATGCCTAGAGCTCACCTCTTTCCTTTCTTTCAGGTTAGTCAACATGACGATAGTAGCAGATTTCTGCTCCCAGATCATCCTCCAGAAGTCATTAACGGTTTCCTGCTTAGGGCCTGGATGGAGAGAATTCCAAAGTCAAAAGGCATAAAGACGTCACTGCTGGAAGCCAGCCTTTGCATGCTGCCCCATGTACCCCGGAAGGCTGTTCACCGCTTTCTCTGAGGCACAAAAGGGCCACGAGCTTGCTGGGACTTCATGCCCTAATGAGTTCTAGAAAGAGTAGAGGCTGGGAAGGACAAGCAAGTCTCCAGCCTTCCCCGCCTATGCTGCTACACTTACTCAACTGCGACTAGGAAATCCTCGGGGAGCGAAATAATTGGGCATGGTGTGGATTATCATATTCATGGGCAAGAGGAGGGGAATTCAGATGAGGACTGGCTCTAAAGCTGCATGTCTAATTGCTCCATGTGCTTGTGAAAGCCTCGAGATATCAAACCCCACTCCAGAATTGCTGAATCACAGTGGACGTGTGTGTGTGAGAGAGAGAGAGAGAAACTGTCCTTTATAAATATCTCAATCTCTCAGCACAGTGCTGTCCAGTAAAGTATGACCCGAAATTCCTAGGGAGGGAATCTGAACCAAAGACAAGAGTCACTAGAAGACAGCCCTCTGTACTTTTTGTGCACTCCCTGCCTGAATACAGACAGTGCCTGGAGGTGCAGCAGCCATTTTGTGACCCTGAGGGTAAAAGGTACAAGGTAAGGAGGGTGGGGCAGGAAGATAAATAAGTCCCTCTCTTCTGAGCTGTTGTCCCAACCCTCGGCTGTCTCCCTTTGGATGTCTCCTTACAGAGAGAAAAACAGGCTTCTATATCTTTCAGCCAATGCTGGTCAGGTTTCCTGATGTCTTAGCTGGGCGTGTTCTTGATGTCCTCTGGGTGTGCGTGTGTATGTGTATCCCCCTGTTTCTCAAGGCATCTCCACTGCAGCAAGCTCCTGGGGTGACTCTGATGTACACTGACTTTTAGACTCAATGTTCTTTTTTTTTTTTGGGAGAGGTTTTTGCTATAGGGCGTGTGCGCTTGCCAGACAGACAGAGACATAGAAACAGAAAGCGAGAAATCACCCCCCAGGGAGGATGGTCACGCCACAATCCCTTCTCCTCCATTCTCCTCTCGGGATCTTGGGCACGCACGCACACGCACCCGGCATGAGTTTTAAGCCACCGGGTTGGGGACGCGAACTGTGGTTGACTACGTGGGAGTCCAGCGATATAGCCATTACGCTAACTGCTGGTTCCCGAGACTCAGTGTTCTAAAGACTCTTGGTCTACCAGTGACGAAGCCTGGGAGATGCAGTCAGAGCTCCCCTGGTACCCAAGTGCAGTGCCAGTTCCCACCGATGGCAGCCTCTGGCTGCGTGAGATGGGAGGCTGGGTTGGAAAGGCTGGTTGTATGAGATAGGATTATGTGCAAGGCTGAGGCATGTTTTCACAGCTGAAACCTCTTCTTGGCTATGGCTTCATGTGAAAGTTACTCACCTCCCTGTGCCCCCAAAACCAGGATTCACGTAGAGCTTAGCTAGCTGAGAGAAGCCCCAGGTTATCTACTGTAGGTACAGCCTGCTGAGACGGCAACCACTAGACCATCGTGTGCCCCATGTTTAAATCACGCAGGTGTAAAAACACACGTGCATTTGGTATATACATAAATTCATCGAATGAATGGACATCAACACATCTGTTAAACGTAGCAGTACACACGTGAATGTGATGGACTGATGCAAATCCTTGGCAGTGCTGGCATACAGACAAGGAAACAAGCACCATTCACATCACTTTACCAAAATAATGTGCAAGATTTAACTTAGTAAAAAATTTACCTTGAGCTGCAATGAATTTATTCTTCTCTTTGTAACCCTAGAAAAATAAATTCAGATGTAAAATTTTTCAGTGTTTTTTTTTTTGGTGAAAGGATTGTATGGTTAGTGTTAGGAAAGGGATACATATTCATCGTGGAGAATTTGGAACACATAGGAAACAATAAGAAAAAAGGCAGATTCACTGCTAATTTCAGGAATAACAAATGTGACTTTCATATATCCCCTGTCTAGTCTTAATCATACCTTCCTAGACATGCACACATGAGCAGATACACAGGCATTTATATTTTACTTGAGTTAATATGTATCACTACAAATTCTTTTATGTTATTTGTGTGTGTGCCTGTGTGTGTGTGTGTGTGTATGTGTGTGTAGAGAGGTCTCATGGTGTTGCTATTTCCCTACCTCAGCCTCTGGAGTGGCTGAGACCACAGGGATGAGCCACCCCGCCAGCCTTTGAGAATAGGTTGGTCATGCCACAGTCCCTTCTCCTCCATCTCTTCCTTCTGTTGGGATTTTGAGCATGCATATACACGTGTCTGGCATGTTTCTCAAGCCACCTGGTCTGAGACTCAACCGTGTAGTCAGTCATGTGGGATCCAGCTGCCTTAACCACCAAGCCATAGTATCATACATAACCACTAGTCCTGTAACATACTTCTAAAGAAAATTTTATAACTTATAAAATTGATTCTAAAGATCCATTAAAATGGGTTTTCAACAATCCATTGCAGATGATTTTAGGTTTTATTAACCAGCCCTGTCTGTTTGTTTTGACAGTAATATAAATAATGCTATAATGAGACCTTATCTGGGTCTCTTGAAAACAAATTCCCAGATGCAAATGTTAGCTTGAAAAGCGTGGGTGGTTCCATGCTCTTTGCACTTGTAATCAGACTGCCCTGGAAGGTGTGACAATTTATGGCCTGGCAGCAGGGATTCACACTCAGCCCCCAGATAGCCAGGGAAACTGCTGACTTACATCTATGTAGGAAGCATTGATGTAGTCTGAACAGGGAATTCCATCCACTTGACTCAAAATCACTCTAGAGTGATCATCTGGAAGCAAACACACACATAGTATTAGGATAAAGAATCAATGTGCCACATATTTCTTTCAACTAAGGTGTTAACCCCCAGAAAGGGCATCCCCAGTTCTTCCATACGAATCATGGGAGTAGAAGAGACATTCCCCTTGAACACGCCCCTCGATGCTAGTGTTAGGAGGGTGGGAAGTCCTTGCTTTATTGGAGACTGGCTTGTCCCAGCTGTGGAACAACAACGACGGTGGGAGAATTTCAGTGTCCAGGGTGGGAACAGCAGAATGCGCCAGGAACCTCACAGTGCAATGAACACATTTTCACAACCTCACTTCAGGCCCTAATACTGACAAGTGCAGGCACACTGGGGAGAACTCAGGACAGAACTGGGTCCCCTCTCCCTGGCTTTCCAGGGAAACGACCACTATACCCAGGGGAACAAGTGGATGTCAGGGTTTGGGGACAGGGACTCTGAACCCCAGTCCTCAGCTTATGCGGACTACTTAACGCTGGGAGATAAGCAGGGCCACGCAGACCTGGCCTGGGCATGCAGGGCAGCCCCTCGAGCATTCCGGCCTGATGTACAAGTAGATTCTCAGGGTAGGAGCAAGTGCCGTGTGCATGTGTGTGTGTGTACGTGCATGTGGTGTGTGTATGCATGTCTGTGGCATGTGTGAGTGTCGTATGTATAGTGTGTGTTCTCTATGTGTGATATATGTTGTGTTTTGTGTATATGTTGTGTGTTGTATATATGTGTCTGTTTGGTGTGTGTCCATTGTGTGTCATGTATTTGTGATATGTGTGATGCAGTATGTGTGTACTGTGTGTATGAGTATATGATGTGTCTGTGGTATGTGCATGCATGTAGGATGCAGTATACATGTATGTGTATATACTAAATAGGAATGTGTTGTATGTATTTGGTGTGTTTGTGGTATGTTTGTGTTGTGCACATGTGGTATGTTGTGTTGTGCAAGGTGTATGTGTTAAATGGGGATGTGTGTGTTGCATGAACGTGTGTGTTGAATGGACTGTGTGTGTATGTCATGTGTATATGTGTGTGGTACAGCATGTGTGTGTACATGCCCATCGGGGAGGTTTCCACCAGGGCTCCTTTTAGACTGTTATGGGTTCAGTCAGTTCTACCTTCATGGGCCCCTTCCTTCATAAAATATTAAATGTTATTTTACGACTGCTTCTATAGTTAGTGAGAAGATAACTGCAATCCAGGCTGGGTTATGTATGTACATTTTTCTGGTTTTAAAAGAAATGAGAACATTTTCATGGGCCCCCTGAAGTGTCCTGGGCTAGGTGCTACTCCTCCTTCACAAGGGATGAGCTAGTTGGCTTTTCCCAGGAACATCCAGCCTCTGCCAGGGCCCCAGGATGGGTGTATATGCTGTGCTAGCACAGAGCTTGCTAGGCGGTTAGAACTTGGTATCTGCTTACTAACGAGACTGAATAATTCTTACATCCTGGTCCCTGTTCCCTCCCCCTCTCAGGTCCTTTAAGAATGAAACTGAGGAGGGTTGTGTTTCTGGTGTGCGCTGTGCCCCGCCCTCACCTGGAAGGCTGCTGGGGGCACATACTGTCTGGGAGTGTTGCTGGGCCAGGACTGTCCTGCTGCTGGCAGACGAGGGCCAGTACAGTTCTCAGAGACACACAGTCCACTTAGGGAGGTCAGGGTGTCAAACCACCAAATGACAGCCCCTCGGACTTTACTATGAGACTCTCCAGCTCAGAGGCTGACGATGAGAGGCAGAAATAGCTCTGACTGAGCACATGCGCTGGTGCACAATTATGCTTTGAGGACAGCTACAGGGTAAAAAATAGCCTCTAGTTAGATTTAGAATCTTGCAGTTTCTAAGAGCTTCCTGTTTGGGTTTTTTTTTTTTTTTTTTTTGCTCCCCCTTTTTTTTTTTTTTTTTTCTTTCCTCCTCAGCGGGG